CTGGGCAGCCGTCCCTGAGCCCAAGACACTTACCGAGGCCTTGAGTGGGCCCGATGCTGAGAAGTGGAAGCAGAGTGTGAAGGAGGAGTATGACTCTCTGCTGGAGAACGACACGTGGGAGCTGTGTGAGCTGCCTCCTGGGAAGAAGGCAATCTCTTCGAAGCTGATTTTCAGGCACAAGTACGGGCCTGATGGGGAGCTGACCCGCTACAAGTCAAGGCTTGTGGCTAAGGGGTTCCAGCAGACGAAGGGGAAGGATTTTGACGACATCTTTGCTCCTGTGGGGAAAGGAACAACAATGAGGACAATGTTGGCATTGGCTGCAAACTATGGATGGAAGATCAAGGAGATGGACATCATTACTGCTTTCCTCAATGGGATCATTTTGGAGGAGCTGTACATGCTGCAGCCTGAGGGGTTGGACGATGGGAGCGGCAGGGTGTGCAGGCTGAAGAAGGCCATCTATGGCCTGAAGCAGGCTCCTCGTGCATGGTACCACAAGCTGGAGGAGACACTGCTGGCTGGGGGGTTCAAGAAGAGTGAGTGCGACCACAGCCTGTTCCTGCTGCAGGAGAAGGAGCAGTTTCTCCTGCTCCTGGTGTATGTGGACGACATCCTGCTTTTCTCCGAGTCGTCTGCAATGATTGAACGTGTGGAGGAGATGCTGGAGATGCAGTTCAAGTGCTCGAAGATGGGAGATGTGAAGTACTACCTCGGGATGCATGTGGAGAGGGACCTCGACAAGGGAGTGTTGAGGTTGCACCAGAGGAAGTACTGTGAGGGGCTGGCCGAGAAGTATGGGCTGCAAGATGGAGGGAAGCCAGCCACCCCACTGCCTTCGAAGTTCACTGTGGAGCCCTGTGCTGATGAGGAGGTGGTGGGGGAGAGTGACAGGAAGTTGTTTCACTCCATGGTTGGGGCGCTCAACTATGCGGCCAACCACACGCGGCCTGACATTGCCTTTGCTACATCCAGGCTTGCGAGTGTGGTTTCACGCCCCAGTCATGAGCAGCTGGAAGCGGCCAAGAGGTTGGTCCGCTATGTGAGTGCAACGGCATCTGTGGGCTTGGAGTACAGTGCCGTGAGGCAAAGGCAGCAGCGGGGTGCTGCTGACTTGAGCAAGGGGGAGATGCTCTTGACTTGCTACACCGACGCTAGCTTCAACTCAGTGAAGTCGGATGGCACCAGCATTGGAGGCTATGTGTGCCTCTTTGGAGGAGGTGCAGTGAGCTGGCGCAGCAAGAAGCAGAACGAGGTGGGGCTGTCCTCGTGTGAGACAGAGTACATGGCCCTACATCATGGGGCCAAGGAGGTGGTGTGGCTGAGGCGTTTGTTGGAGGAGATTGGTGTTGCACAGAGGGAGGCGACTCTGATTTTCTGTGATAATGAGTCGACGGTGAAGCTTGCAAAGAATGCTTGTCTTCATGGCCTGACAAAACACATCAGGCCCAAGTGGCATTGGACAAGGAGGCTCCTGGACAAGGAGGTGCGACTGGAGCTTGTGAAGACCCAGCAGCAGGCGGCTGACATTCTCACCAAGCGCCTGGCAGAACCTGAGCATTGGAAGGGCATGAAGCTTGCTGGGATGAGTGTGCATTGAGGGTGCATGCTTGAGTTATGGCATGTGGAATGATGGTTGGCAGCCAGAGGGGGAGTTTGTTGTGTGATGCAACCATATGCATTCACGTCTGTCTGCCTCCCATCATGTGTTCGTGTGTTGCATGCGTGGTGTGAGCGTGTGCAAGAATTTGTGTTTTTGCGCGGTTTGGATTTTCTGAGTGTGTGTGAATGTTATTTGGCTTGAGCAGATATCTGAAGTGATTGCTCTGCTCAAGAGCTTTCCGATGAGCCAAGAATCGTCGCGATCGGAGCAAGAACAAGAAAGTTACGAACATTGGAGTTCGTATGCTTTCTGTACTTTGGTTGCGGCGACTGTTGGAACATGTTGGGTTGACTCAATATGGGGTACAGACTTTTGGGGTTGGAAAATTCAAACCGATCACTGTAGAATGCTGCCATGTGGTTGGGAGAAGCCAAACCAGGTTGGCAAGTGTGGCCAAGTGGGTTGAGGTGGATGGCATGGGTTGGGATAGTGACAAAAGTGAAAGTGGGGTTGCCTATGGAGATGGAAACTGTGTGGCATGGGGTTTCCTTGGTTGGGGACTCCCTTGGAACCTTCCCTCTCGTCCTCCTCTTCCCTCCCACCTGGTTTAGTGCTACTCTAACTCTCTTGTGTGTAACTTGTGGAACTTGTGAGTTAATTGTGATTGAGTTAAGTTTCTATGTGGCAGCATACCCCCTAGTGCACCGAAAAGCATAACTCGAGATTTACTCCACCTTTTGATACGATTCAAATTGGGAATGATAGCCACGGTCAAGGGCTATAACATACTCGAGTTTGAGACAATTCTAACGGTGCACTTTTCGTCGACAACGTTTCTTGTGAAGTCGCGGTTTCTGTCCAGAATTCTAAGCCAACGATTTTGAGTTATTTAGGCACCTAATCTTCATAGACTCAGTCCTTAAGTCTCTATCAGCGCGCGGGGTCGACGGGGCCGACGGGGCCTCTAAGCGGGGCGCGCGCGGGGTCGACGGGGCCAGCGGGGCCTCTAAGCGGGGCGCGCGCGGGGTCGACGGGGCCAGCGGGGCCTCTAAGCGGGGCGCGCGCGGGGTCGACGGGGCCAGGGGGGCCTCTAGGCGGGGTGCGCGTGGGGTCGACGGGGCCAGCGGGGCCTCTAAGCGGGGCGCGCGCGGGGTCGACGGGGCCGACGGGGCCTCTAAGCGGGGCGCGCGCGGGGTCGACGAGCCGACGGGGCCTCTAAGCGGGGCGCGCGCGGGGTCGACGGGGCCAGCGGGGCCTCTAAGGGGCGGCGCGCGGGGTCGACGGGGCCGTTAAGGGGCGGAGCACGGGTCGCTAAGGGGCGGCACACGGGGTCGAGGGGGCCTTAAGGGGCCGTGAAAGAGAGGCGCACGAGGGCGCTGAGGGGGGAGACACTAGGGAGCGCTCCGACAGTAGGGCGCACGAAGGCGCTAGTAGGCAGTCAGTAGTGGTGGGCCCTAAAAAAAATTAGGTCCTAGCGAAGGACCTGCTCTGAAACCATGTCAGAATGAATGAATCAGGAATGGGTGAACTAGCAGGATGTTGGGGTACAAGTTGAAAACCCTAAGTTTGTGTACCCCCTAAGGTCAAACCCACTACAGCCTACACAACTTAAACATGCAATGTTTGACAATATCAGCGTAAAACACGCTGATTACGCTGATTTTGTAGCTAAGATTTTCGTTTTCCCTGAAAATTCAGCATATGCTTCAATTTTGCACTGAAATTTCAGTATAACCTATTTTGCCACACTGACCATTTTGCGTGTTGCTGTACAAGTAACACTGACGAATTAGTATATTTCGGTGAGTCACACTGAAACGGGCTTGACCGCGTGTGTGGGGGGGGGGGGGGGGGGGGGGGGGGGTTAGGGTACGCGTGTACAGGCTGTACCTTTCCGTGATTCACGAACCCCACCCGCACACTATGAATTTCTTTGCATGTGCGCAGATATCAGGTGCGCTCCGAAGTGCTTAGCCTCGCTGGACCCTATCACAGTACAGTAACAACACCGCACACCTTGCACTGGTGTTTCAGCTATAGTTTTTTCTTTACACTGTTGGTTCAGTTTACTCATGATTTTCACACTGGAAAAATCAGTACAACAAAAAAAAAACAGTGAACGCTGATTTGGACACCTCGTTGGCCGGGGCACGCTGATCCATCAGCATACCCTCAAACCAATCTGAGGGCATGATCGTAAGACAGATCTTCAACCAGGGGGGTTATTTATTTATTTCAGCCGGGTTTCATCATGGACTTAGCTGACTCAACAACCTTATTCCTCAGGGGATTTAGGAGGGGCCTAACTTAAATATGTCTGCAACTGTTCTTTATTCACACCAATTAGAAATATATATATTTCATGTGTGTCTGGATATAGAGACAGTTGTGGGGAGGATGTTTGATGTCAGATTCGTCACGTGTTGCATTTTCATGGGTTGAACTCAATGGCGGTATTTGACGTGGCATGTTCCTAGTCCTCACAACTTTTTCTGGTCCTTCATTGGAGGGAGCTGGAAATCCAGTTGTCACGCACAAGTTCAACAAATAAGCGTTTCACATCTGTCACTGCAGTGCCTATCGGCGACTGATCGGTTCGGATCCATCCAACACCATCATACAGGGCAGCTGGAACCATCCCTCCCGTCCGTCCCGTTGCTCCTCCGTTACCCGCCAACCCAATCCCCACCTGCTCTCTCCCTCTCCTACAATACCTCCCTCCCGCCACCACCACCACCCACCCCGCCTGTTCACGTCCTCTTTTCTCGAGCCGCGCGATAAACTGCAACACTGCGGCTGTTCGTTCGGCTATGCTTGTCCTCGCATGGCCGCATCTACTTAAGCACCAACCAAGCGGCACTTTTGCAAATTCCTTCGCAGCGCCATCCAATCTTCAGGACCAGTCGTCGTGCCGCCATCGTCTACCACACCAATTGTTTCCGTATTTCCTCCCTTCCGCCCTTCACGAATGGCGTCACGCTCATCGTCACTTTTAGTGTCCCGCCCGCCACACGCACTCGCATCTTCCCAATCTCCTCTTTTCCATCCCCGCACGCCCCGCTCTGCGCCAGCTCCTCTCCGCTCCACCCGCGCCAAGCCCGCGCGCCTCACCGTTTCGCCAGTAGCCTGCCGCCTTTCCCCTACGCGCTCCGTAGCGCCCAACGAGTTCCCCGGCGCGAGCTCGCGCGCAGGCAGCCGGAACAGGCGGCAACGACGAATCGTCTCGCGCGCGGGCATTTTCAGCGGATGGCGCGCGCCGCCCGCGGAAAGCCCGATCGGGGCAGAGATCAGCGGCGGAACTGCGCCGGAGGGGGCAGGCGAGATTACGGCTCAGGGGGGGAGAGACGGGGAAGGGGCGGGGGTTGAAGAGGGGAAAGGGTCGGCGGTGCGCGGCGAGATGGGCAGCTCGATCGCAGACTTTCTGCGGCTGCACGAGGACGCGGCGTCGCAACGCGTGGAGCTGCAGACCGCCGTGCTGTCGTACCGCCGCCCCGCCCGCTGGTGGAACGCGCTGCGACCGCCCGTGCAGGTGAGGCCGCGGAGATGGAGGGGAGAGCAAGGAAGGAGAGGTAAGGGTGGATGACAGTGTGAAATGGTGGGGGCGGTGGTGAGGCAGGCGGAAGAGGGGAAGGGGGGGGGGGGAGATGAGGGGAGGGGGAGATGGAGAACGATGGAGGAGAGTGAGGAGAGTGGGAAGCGCGCATAGCGCCCGGATGAGGACTTGGCGTTAAGCACGCGGGGTGGTCAGAAGCGCTTCCGCTGTTCGCTGCTGCCCTCAACTCACGCAGCCGTTGGAGCCGTTTAAAGCTTAATGAGCGCCTCGATGCTCACGCGCAGATTTAAATCCTGACGACCCACTGCGGCCTGCAGGCCTTAGACTTCCCTCTACTAGTCGGCTAATCTGTCTCCCGTGCGTCTGTGTGCGCGTGTGTGCATAATGTGTTTCTGCGCGTGCCTTGTTCCGTGTGCCCTGTGTGTGTGCGCTGGATGGCTGGATGTGGGCATGGCCATGGGCATGTGCGTGTGAATGGTCTTGTGTGTGCGTGCGCGTGCGTGCATGCGTGCATGTGTGCATGGCATCAGGTGGATCTAGTGTCCGTGGTGCACATCGCCGATCAAGAGTAAGCCGCGACACACCCTCCTCGCCCGCCACACCCTTCTTCTTCCCCTCCTCTTCCCCCTTACCTTTTTTTCCCTTCCCGCTTCCCTCCTTCCCCCTTCCTCCCCCCTTCTTCCTCTCGCTCCCAACGGCATCCGCGCCGTCCCATATCCATCTCCGCACTGTCGATGCTCGCTCCTCGTCCCTCTCGTTCTCCTTAATCCCTCTGCTGCTCGTGTCCTTCCCAAACCGCCCGCCTTCCTCCCCTTCACCCTTTCCCTATCCCCTTTCCTCCTTTCCCCCTCTCTCCTCTCCCCTCCCCGCTTCCCCTTTTCCCCTCCCCCTTCTTCCTCCCCATTCCCCCTTTTTCCCGTCCCCGCTCCCCCTTCCCCCGTTCCCCCGTCCCCCCATCCCCCCCCCTCGGGCGCGCAGGTACTACGACGCGTTACAGGCGGAGCTATCGACGTACGACCGCGTGCTCTACGAGATGGTCGCCGACAAGCAGCGCGCTTCCGCTTCCGCCGCCGCCTCCGCCTCCGCCTCCGCGAGCCCCGCCGACGGCGACGCGGACGGCGAGGACGCGCAGCGGCGGGACAGCAGATGGCGGCGGTTCGTGGGGCGCAAGGAGAGCGACCGCTGGATGCCGCCCAAGCGCAACCCCAAGCGCAGGTGCGCGCGCCACGATGCGAGGGTGGGCGCGGGCACGGGGAACGGGGGGAACAAGGGTCAGGGAATGGGGAACTGGGGACTAAGGACGGGGAACGGATTGCTGCAGTGAGGGAAGGTGGCTGAAGGGGTGATTAGGGGCGTGATGCGTTGCAATGCGTGCGAGGAATGATGGGTGGTGGCGACGTGTGTGTAGGTTCCACGGGGGTAGCCAGTAGCCAGCCCCCGTCAGCAGCACCACTAGCCGAAGTCGCTTCATTCCTATTCCCCCCGCTCCCTGTCTATCATTCTGCTCCGCCCACCCCTCCCTTGCCCGCACTCCCCTCGCACCTCTGCACCACCATACCCCAATTGCTGTACCCACTCCTGCCTTGTTGCTTCTCCCTTACTGCGCACTCCTCCCCCTCTCCCTTGTTCTCTCCTCGCTTCTCCACCTCTTTCAAAACAAACATTTCTTCTTCCTCCCCTCGTCCATACCACCTTCCCCATCCCACTCTCCCTCCCCCTTGTTCCGCCTCACCCCCTCCCCTTACCCCGACGCCACGCGGCAGGCGGAGGGGAGTGGTGGGGGCGATACAGAGCGCCATGGCGCGCATGCTACGGCTGTCGTTCCAGCTGGACCACGTGGACTACCGCCAACCCAACTTCTACCATGCTGACCTCGACCTCGCCACCTTCATGCAACTCCAGGCATGCTCCACTCCCCCCTCTCACGCGCTTTCCTCTCCCCTTCGCACGCTTTCTCTCCTCCTCGCCCCCTCTCCCCCTCCCCCCGTGTCGCCGGCTCCCCCACTCCCTGCCTGCCTGCTTGGGTGCATACCCGTCCTGCCCTCGTTTCTCCACTGCCACCGCCGCCACCTTCGGCCAGCTGTCTTTCTGCTGCCACACCCACCATTCGCTGCATTTCTCCATCCATCCGCACTTCACCTTCCCACGAGGCATCTCTTCTAGTGGCTGCGCTGCGTCCCCTTCTCCCTTCCCTCTTTCCCTTCCCAGCCTTTCTTTTGAACTTCACATGTGCTGTTGTCTCTCTGTGCTGTGGAGTTGTTCTTGTTTACCCACTCAGCATCGCTTCTTTCTTGGTCGTGCCACCTCGTTGCAACCCAACCATCCATCACCTCCTCCTTCCCTCTACCCAACTTACCTCATCTCTCCCAACCTACCCCCACGTTCCTCCCTTCCCCATCCCCCTCTCTCCCCCCCTTCCATCCCTTCCCTGTCGCTCCCCACTGCGCCTTCTCTGTCCTCACTTCCCTGCTGGCGCGATGTGCAATGCAATCCAATATGGTGCAATGCATGCGGTGTTGTGGCGAGCAGGAGGAGCGGGGCGAGAGCATGCTGTCATTCGCGCGCGAGGTGGCTCTGCGCTCCACCAAGGCCATCGTCCGCGCCACCGCTGCACGCCCCCTCGCGCCCAACCTCGGGCCGCTGCGCCGCACGCTGCTGTGGGCGGCGCGCTTTGTGCCGATGCCGCTGGTGGGGCTGCTGGTGATCCAGGGCGTGTGTGCGCCCGAGGGCCCCGGCAGCAGTGCTCTGGTGAAGGGCGCTGAGTTCCAGGCTTTGCTGAACCTTGACTTGTCGTCTGCGCTTAAAGTGGTGCTCGCGAGGCAGATTACGCTTGAGTGCGTGGGGTAAAGGGTGGGGGATGGGGAGATGAGGGACGGGTGGATGAGGAGAAGTGGTAGTGAGGATGGGGGAGGGGGGATAAAGGGTAGTAGGGGTGGGGGAGTGGGTGAAGGGAGGGGTTGCAGGGAATGAGTGTGGGAGGAGGTGCAGCGGTGGGGTGGTGGTGAATGGGATTTGTTCAACTCTTTGTGATCGGGTGGTGATGTGGTGGTGCTAGAGGTGGTGGTAGCTGTAGGTGTCATGCCATCCAAAGCCTTGCATCACACCACAACACCTCACCTGCGCTCTGCTGTTCCCCGCTTCACCCCAACTTACTCTCCACCCTGTTCCCCCTACCCCACTCAGCACATTGGACGGGGCAGCAGGCGTGATGGCATCATCAGTAATAATAGGCGAGCGCAACCGGGCGTGCATGCAGGAGGTGCACGAGGCACTGAAGGCGGGCAGCAGGCGCATCGCAGTGTTCTACGGCAGCGGGCACCTGCCTGACATGCACCTGCGCCTCACCTCCGAGCTCGGCCTGGTCCCGTCCCACCTCTCCTGGCGCACCGCCTGGTCCATCCCCACCCCTGCCTTCGCTCCTCTGCCCGCACCTCCTCCTCCTGCTGCCTCCTCTGCTGCGTCGCCCTCCAACGCGCATTCTGTTACAGCAGCAGCAACAGCTGGTTCATCCGCTGCAGTGGCCTCTCCACTCGGTCTCCCCTCGCTGCCCCGCCCTGCCGCACGTCGTCCCTCCGCCTCCTCCCCATCCCTCGCAAACCCCACCATGCCCAGCACTGCCAACCCAACACCAACAACACCACCACCCAGGTCACCCTCCCCTCTCTCCTCCTCCATCCCCACCTTCCACACCCCACACCTCACACACCTCTCCGAGCAAGCACACGCGCTGCTAGACAATCTCCTGGGCCATCTAGCGGGAGCAACAGGGTGGCCCATGACGAGGCAGCAGACGGCAGCGCTGCTGCTGCTATCGGTGGTACTGGCACTGGACCTGTGTCTGTGGGAGGTGGTGCTCGCCTCGCTCTCTGACCTCGCTGTGCTGCTGCTGGAGGGCGTTGGGAAGTTCCTGGACCAGGGCTGGGGGCTGTGAGGGCACGGAGGGGAGTGAGTGATTGGTGCTGCGGGCTGCAGGATGCGTGGCGTGGTGTGGTTGTGGTTGCGCCGTTGCGGTGTGCAGCGTGCTGTGAGCTGATGCCGGGATGTGCCGGCTCTGTGGGGCTTGCATGGCTATGCTGCCCTGCCACCATGTGTTGGAATGAACTTGGAAGGGGTACTTTTTCTGGCTTGATCACACCACTGGGCCTTGCCCTGGCCCGAGCTGATGGTGCCTGCCACAATCACTTGAGGTTGGCTGGCTGATCCGATACGCCCGCACTACCCTCACCAGTGCCCTCGTGTGCGATACTGCATGCTGCTCAGGCTGTGTTGTGCCTCTGCCGCTCCCATGCGCTGTCACCCACCTGTCGCCTCGTGCTCAGCCCTTGATGCTCACTGGGAGTACTTGTATGCTGTGCCATTGTACAGTCTGCTTCTCGTCACCGTCGCTGGCTCCAGTCTGCACTACTGATCAAGACTGACGCCGCAGTCATCATCGTCAATGCACACAGTGGTACTTGCCAAGCACCATGGTGGTGTGGGCGAGTGTGCTTGTCATTGCTGCCCTCACTGTTCTGTGATTTGTGACTAGAACAGCAGCCTTAGTGCTCCAGTTGGGTAGTTGTGCCCCTTGCGTCAGCTGTAAATCTTTGTGCTTACCTGTTGTGACCAAGTATTCAACAGTAAATTGTACATTCGTCAACCCTATGGCGGTACATGGAAGACAAAGTGCACCGGTAGGTCCACAAACCAAATGCCACATCGTTATTACAAGGGGGCGTCGTGATGTGACAATGAGGAGGATGGTCCCACGTCCCGTTTCAGGAAGATCCGTTTTTCTGCTAGTCCCGCAGCCTCACCAGTGCACAACACTGCACAGCACCGCACAGCACGACAATAGAGCTGCAACAATAATAACCCACTGCAAGCACATACATCACCACCGCAATACGTGAATGCATACCCCCTCGAGCGTCCGTGCCATGGGTCCCTGACAGGGCAACCCCCTCGCCGTCACTCGCTCTCTCGCACAGCGCCCAGTGCGTCAGAAACCGCATCTCCACACGCCAAACGCTCCTTCCTCTGGGGCAACCCCCCTTCGCCTCCATCCCTCCATCGCCTTCCGCCCGTCTTCTCCTCCGCAGACCCTCGCAAAGCCCGATTCCGACCTCATTCCGCCCTTCCCCTTCCGCCGTCGCGCGTCGCGCAGGGGACGGGCTCAGCACCGTCGACAGCCACCGCCGGCAGCTGCTGTCGCAGAGCGCGGAGCCGGGCATGGAGGCGTCGCGTCGCGTGCTGGCGGCGGTGCGGGGATCACGCGCGGGACTGTCGCGCGGGGCGAGGGAGCGACTGGGATACGGTGGGTGCGCAGCGACGGGTCGCCAGAGTGAGCGCGAGAGGCGGTCGAGCGCGAGTGATTCGGGAGTAGCATCAGCAGCAGCAGCAAGAGGGCGTGTGCAGCGCTATGCGAAGGGCATCCCTTCCAGAGACTTGCCGCTGCTGCTGCTGCTGCTGCTGCCGTGCTTGCGTGGCACGTTGCAATCTCACGACCACACGCCACTCTTTGTGCCTGAGTCGTCAGAAGCTGACTGTGCCTTGTGCCCTGTGGTGCGTGGTGTGTGCATGCAGACGTGCTGAGTCTGTGCCATGGGCTGCGCTGCTGTGTGCTGCTGGACTACTGCTGCCCTTCCTCGCATGACCTTGCTGCTCTGCTCACACACCTCAACCAGGTATGCCACTCACTTACTCGCATCCTCGCATTCTTGCTTGCTCGTATTCTCCATGTATCAAGCACCATGCAACATACACCTCTGCCCCCCACTCCTCTCTCCTTCTCCATGCTCACAGCACGCTGAGCCTTGTCCGCGTTTCCACTTACTAGTCCCACTCTCCTCCCTTCCCTCCTCCCGTCTCCCTCTCCCTTTGATCACATCACCCCTGCTCTGCTGCAGGAGTTATCGCCTCTCCTCTCCACCCCCTGCCATGCCTTTCCCAACCACCACCACCATCACCCACCACACCCACTCTCCCCATCCTCCACCCCTGCTGCTCCCTCAACCGCCCACCCTCCACCCACCTCCTCAGCCCCCAACCCCTCCTCGCCCTGCGCCCGCCACGCACCCCCTCACCCCTTCCCGCTGTGCGATGCGGCGGTGGCAGCAGCAGCAGGGGATGTGGGCGTGGTGGAGATGGCAGGGGCGTGCTACCTCGTGCGCGTGAGCGCACTGCACAGGCTGGCCGCACAGGTGGAGGGCGAGAACAGGGCACGCGCTAGTGCACCAGTGGAGCCCGCAATGCAAGCTGCCTCCATGCCTCCTCCTCCGTCGCTGTCACCACTGCCCGTGCGGCTGCCTGCAGTGTCTGATCGCACCGTGCCAAGCGTGCCTGCGTGCACGGCACTCCATGGCCTCTTGCCCGTGCTGCCGCGCATGCCGCCCCTGCTGCTTGCATGCCGCAATGCCTCTCTGCAGGTGAACTGTATGCCCCTTGCATGATGGGCATGGCGGCAGGCATGGCGGCGGGCATGGCGGCAGGCATGGCGGCGGCCATGGCGGCAGGCATGGGGGAGGGAGGGACAAGTGTCCTAGCCAGTGGGCGGCAAGCAGCAGCTCAGGGGCAGGGGCAATGCATGCTGTACATCTGGTGCATAGTGCGCACCTCTTGACATGGTTCAACCCACTCTTGTCATGCTCCCACCTCGCAGATCCCATCACCTCTTGACACGGTTCAACCCACTCTTGTCATGCTCCCACCTCGCATATCCCATACAACCTGCCATGCCATTCACGCGCGTCCTTATACCCATGCACCCCCGTGTTTGCCAGCCTATTCCCACAAGACCACTCTGTGATTCCTTCCGCTTTCTCTCTGTGTGCACACATGTGTGCCATGATGCCATCACCATGCGTGCTCATGTGCACATGCCATCACCATGCGTGCTCATGTGCACATGCCATCACCATGCGTGCTCATGTGCACATGTCATCACATCACACGTACAGGAGGTGCCTGCCACTGACGCCCAGACAACTCTCTCCCATCTCCTCTCCTTCCTCCACATTCTCGTATCCCCACCCATTGCTCTCGCCACCACGCCCACACGCCCTTCTCACCCACCACCGCTGCAGCAGCAGCAGGGTGCGCGGGAAACAGCGGCGGCAGCGGCGGCAGAGGAGGAGAGAAGAGGACACGAGCGTGCAGACGATGATGGGTTTGTACGAGTCGGCAAGCCCAGGAGAAAGGGCAGGCTATGGCAGCAGCAGCAGCAGCAGCAACAGGAGAGGTTGCATGGGGATAATGGATGTTGTAGCAGAACAGGAGGAGGTGGGGAGGGCGGAGAAGACAGGGGCAGTGATTGTGGTGTTGGGAGGGTGACGGGGAGCGGCAGAGGAGCAGTGGTGGTGATGCAGGGTGATGCTGCGTTGAGGGCATGCCATGTGGCCCTGCCCACTGTCAATGGGTCAGTGCTACTGCCGCAAATACCGCTCTTCCCCAAACTCCCACTAACAACGCACACCCACTCGCACGCACGCACACACGCACACATGCACCCGTATGCGCCCACGTGCCCCACACCCACCCCCGCGGCCGCGCATAGGTGCTTTTGCAAGCCAGTTGAAACACACCCAGTGTCTTTCTCCTCCATTCTTCCCTTGTCCTTTCATCCTTCTCTCCACACACCCAGGTTGCTTCTCTGCAAAAAAGGAGCTCTCCCTTGCTTCTCAACACCAGCACTGCCATCAGACACTTTCTGTGCTGATCACCACTGCTTCCTGTTACCCTCCCTCAAGTCAACTCCCCTCACCTTCCCTATGTCCCGTACCATCCCTGCCCCTCCATCTCTCATCCTGCATGTGCCCTCCCCTGTTACACCCCCCCCCCCCCTCCCCACCCACAGCTGGCTGTTGGGCTACCCCGTGGTATATCTGCTGCCCTCCCTGCCCCCCTGCACGCCTCACCTGAGCCGTTCCCCTCAGAGCAGCTTGCAGTGCCGCCCGGTGAAGCCATGGCTCGCTGCTTTGCTGCCACTCCGCTCTCCGTGCTCTCTGTCTCCGCTGCCTGGTGCGTGCCAAGCACCACTGTGCTCCGTTCGTGGCAGGATGAGACATGGCATGATGCGACATGGCATGATGCGACATGGCATGATGTGACATGGCATGATGCGACATGGCATGATGAGACATGGCATGATGAGACATGGCATGATGGGACATGGCATGATGTGACATGGCATGGTGTGACATGGCATGATGTGACCTGGCATGATGTGACATGGCATGGTGTGACATGGCATGATGTGACATGGCATGATGCGACATGGCATGATGAGACATGGCATGATGTGACATGGCATGATGAGACATGGCATGATGGGACATAGCATGATGTGACATGGCACGATGTGACATGGCATGGTGTGACACAGCATGATGTGACATGGCACGATGTGACATGGCATGCTGTGACATGGCATGCTGTGACATGGCATGATGCGACATGGCATGATGAGACATGGCATGATGTGACATGGCATGATGAGACATGGCATGATGGGACATGGCATGATGTGACATGGCACGATGTGACATGGCATGATGTGACACGGCATGCTGTGGCATGGCATGCTGTGACATGGCATGATGTGACATGGTATGATGTGACATGGCATGCTGTGACATGGCATGATGTGACATGGCATGATGTGACATGGCATGATGTGACATGGCATGATGTGACATGGCATGATGCGACATGGCATGACAAAGCACATGCGACCTCATGGAAGCGCACCCATCCCACTGTAGCACTAATGTCATCGTACAGCTCCTATCCTATGTGAGCTCCTACCATCATGATGCCTGCCACCGCATGCTACCGCACTGCACAGCATCTATTTGAGTCGTTGCTCCGTCCCCTACAACAGCAGTGCAGGGGAGAACAGCAGTGAGGGGTCAAGGCCGCATGATTCACAGACGCATGGCTCCCTCCTTACCACCAACACCCCTACCCACGAGCTGCTGAGGTGAGGTCGCCACCTGAATCTTCAACCCACACCCCATTGACCAAGCACCGAGTCTTTACGAACGCATGGCTGTTCAGTTCCGTGCATGTGTGTAGCTGCCTCCTCTATGCTGCATGGGCATTAGTTTTGCGTGCCTCAAAGCCAACCCATTGAGTGCGTATTGAGTGTTGGCATGCATGGTTGTTCCGTGCATGTGTGGAGTCTGCCTGCTCTATGTTGCTTTGGCACTCGTGTGTCGCCCATTCACTTGCACACTCACTCGTTGCGGTAGCACTACCAAACAGCTGCCCCCAGCACCAGAACCACAGGTATAACCACCAGCAGCCAAAGGACTCACACCATCGCACACCCTTCTCTGTCAGAGGTCCACTGGTGATCTCCGATTGATCCTAGGGAAGGGTCACAGGCACGTCGGCCTGGAGGGTTATGGGCGCACTCACCCGCTACACAAACAAGCCCTTTTATCCCAATGGTTAGTGGTTGGGATTCTGACATGGTACCAAAGCGAAGGTATCGGGTTCGAACCCCGGTGTGTACACCTCGGGCATTCCAGTGCGGGAGGGTGTCAGAGGTCCACTGGTGATCCCCGATTGATCCTAGGGAAGGGTTATAGGCACGTTGGCCTGGAGGGTTATGGGCGCACTCACCCGCTATACAAACAAGCCATTTTATCCCAGTGGTTAGTGACTGAGATTCTGACACTCTCCTTCCCACCCCTCTCCTTCCCACCCCTCTCTTTCCCACCCCTCTCCTTCCCACCCCTCTCTTTCCCACCCCTCTCTTTCCCACCCCTCTCCTTCCCACCCCTCTCTTTCCCACCCCTCTCTTTCCCACCCCTCTCTTTCCCACCCCTCTCTTTCCCACCCCTCTCTTTCCCACCCCTCTTTCTTTCCCACCTCTCCCCACCCGCCCTCCACCCCCCTCCCGTCTCCCCCCGGACCCCCACTGCAGGTTCTCCGTCCCATCCTTCCTGCTGTCTGTGCCAGACACACCATCCCCACACCTGCACTATCCCTGGCTACGCTCACTCCTCGCCACCCTCCAATCAAGAGTCGCCAGCTGTCCCAGTGCACGCTACGGAGCGCCTAACGAGGGTGTTGAAACGGAGGATGGCAGGAGGGACAGTGGGGGAAGTGGGAGCAGTAGTACAATAGGAGTGCCGAATGGCAGTGCGGGGGTTGGTGCTGCTGCATGCAAGAAAGAAGGGACGGAGAAGCTGCAAGAGGAAAGGGAGACGACGAGCTGCTGTACAGGGGCCATCATGTGCCAGGTGTGGAAAGAGAGGCAGCAGCAGGCGCACACTGAGGAGAGGCACAGCAGTGCCTGGTGGTGCTGGGAGCAGCTGACAGTGGCCGTTACCCCTGCTGAGACATCAGCAGTAGTTCTGTAGGGCTGTGTGAATAACAGGCCAGGCCAGAAACATGGTGTAAGGGTGATACGGTACAGTATTACTGAATTTCGGCACCAAGCCAGGATGTGTACCAACCAGGGCCGATGCATGTTCCATTCTTCTTGTCAGGCAAGACTTGAACGATGACAAACTTCAAGGACACAAGTCTGGTTTGAGCTGAATGCCTTTGTTGGATTGAAATGAAGTTGTGGTGAGGTGAGAGGGAAGCAGGGGGATGGGTAACAGGCAGACTCCCATATCCGTCTCACCCTTCACACTGTTTTTCTTTTTCCAGACCTACCTACCGTACAAGACAAGTGATTTGCTTTCCCCTGAAGGTTCAGACACGTATACTCAAAACAGTAAACGCAAGAAAGAGGCGGTAGTGGGTGGCAAAGTTGAAGCCATTGGACATCCTTCCACATCCACTCCAAAGCTCAGTCCTAGCAAGGGACCAACGATGCTGGAGAAGCTGAGGACAGGCCAAAAACGAATCTGAGGGCCTGCAAGGGACCAACGCAGAGCCCTAGATATCAGACTTTGGAGTCTGATTCAGAGTCCGTTCAGACTTTTTTTGCGTACCTAGTCTGAACCCAAAGAATAGCTTTAGGCCCCTTGTCTGATTTTCCAGAGTTTTTTTAGCTGTATTGTCTGAAATTTCAGACTAATTTTTGTAGTGTACGCTGAGGCTCAGACTTGTATCGGGGATACACTCTGAAACCGATGGTACAGGGGTATGCGCCAGCCTGGCGGCGTGTAGCACTATCCCCATCAATCACGGGCGGGAACCCGCAAAATTTCGCCAGCGCGTCACCGCACAGTCGTGTTGGTACAGAATTGCTGTAATCAACAGCAATTCCAACCAATCGGGGCTGCGCAACAAGCAGTGTTGGCAAGATTCCTTGCCAACACCTAGCTCGCAGCGCTCTGCACCGACGCTTGACACCACGACCATCCACCACACCTCGCCTTCATTGTTGCCAGCGCAGAGCTTGCAGCGCGATGCCATGCCACTCTCACTTCACCACATCCATCCACCCCACCCCACCGTCCACGTTGCCAACGCATATCTCGCACCGCGCTGCTTCTCTCACGTGACCACATCCATACACCCCATTCAACCCACCTTCCCAGCATTCACGCCCAGATGCCGTGCATGCAGCGACCACCTGGGAGATGAGAGGTCCTAATACGAGGACCTCTCAACTTCCTCATGGTCACCGTGCTTGCCTGATGCTCCTCTCCGTTTGCCTGGCCTGGAACTAGTATAGGAGCCTTTGTTTCAGGCTCCCAATTCCTAGCTCGCTACACCACTGCTCGGCAGGCTCAATGGCTGCCACACAGGCTGACGATGATGGGCCCGACGAGGAGGATGATGCGGATGTTCGCCCAGTTTCGGACCCACTCACCGGACTAGACTTCCTTAGGTCCGTCCTACCGAAGCACAATCCACCGCAGACGCCACCGTCGCAACCCAGCTCCAGTCGCCCCTCGATTCCGCAGACGCCACCGTCGCAACCCAGCTCCAGTCACTCACCTCTGCACGAGGCTGTCGCCGATCCAGCGACACCTGCGCAACAGGCGCTGCCCCACGAGGCGTCCGTCCCAGCCCCTTCTCGTCCCGTGCCACCGACGAAGCCGCGGTTCCTGTCAAACATTATATATGTTGCGTTTGTTAGGCTACAGTGGGTTAGCCTATATGGGGTACACAATTCTAGGGTTTGCTATTTGTACTGATTTCTCTGTTAGTTCAATCATTCCTGCTCAGTTCTTCTGACATGGTTTCAGAGCAGGTCCTTCGCTAGGACCTAAGTTCTCTTCGGGCCCACCACTACCTACTACCTACTAGCGCCCTCGTGCGCTCTACTATCGGAGCGCGTTTTAGCGCCTCCCCCTTAGCGCCCTCGCGCGCTTCTCTCTTTTTTTTTCCCGGCCCCGCTGGCCCCGTCGATCGCGCCCCGCTTAGAGGCCCCGCGGCCCCGTTGCGCTCCGCCTAGAGGCCCCGCGGCCCCGTCGCGTCCCGCTTAGAGGCCCCGCGGCCCCGTCGCGCCCCACCTACCGGCCCCGCGACCCCTTCGCGCCCTGCTTAGCGGCTTCGCGGCCCCGTCGCGCCCCGCCTAGAGGCCCCGCGGCCCCGTCGCGTCCCGCTTAGAGGCCCCGCGGCCCCGTCGCGCCCCACCTAACGGCCCCGCGACCCCGTCCCGCCCCGCTTAGCGGCTCCGCGCAGCCGCGCCGCCCTACCTGAACCGAGCCGCGCCGCCCGACCGAGCCGCGCCGCCCGTACTGAGCAGCCCCGTCGATACTGCTGCTCCTACTACTGCTCCTACTGCTACTGCTACTGCTACTGCTGCTACTGCTACTGCTGCTACCACTACTGCTGCTGCCACTATGGCTAGTCCTCCCGTACTTGCTTTCGATGCTGAGGGCCGCCCAGTGAAGTTTGACACCTGGCTAGATGACCTGCACCTCTTCCTACAGCTCACTGCCAAGGAGGATATTTCGCTGTACGATCATGCCCTCGGTCACGCTACTGCCCCTCCTACCACTGCAGACAGCACTCAGCGCTCACAGTGGCAGACTCGTGACGCCCACGCTCGCTTCGCTATTCGCAACTCCCTGCCGATAGATGAGCGCGAGCACTTTGGCCAGCACAAGACTGCTAAGGAACTGTACACTGCTGTTGTTGCTCGTTACTCCTCACCTGCTTCTGCCACACTAGGCCGCCTCACCCTCCCCTACCTGTTCCCCGACCTGGCCTCCTTTCACACAGTTGCTGACCTCATCACCCACCTCAAGACTAGTGAGGCCCGCTTTCGCGCTGCTATGCCTGACGAGTTCCTTGCTAGCAATCCCCCCCCGCTCTGGATCACTCTCTACCACATCGTCACCCGCCTCCCTGACTCTCTGCGCACAGTCAGGGACCACTTCCTCGCTCGCTCCCCCACTGAGCTCACCATTGCCCTCCTCGAGAAGGAACTGCTTGCAGCTGAGGCGAGCATCGTCGCTGTAGGCACCTCTCGTGGCGACCCCCGCACCCCGTTCTTTGAGGGGTGTTCCCCTTCCCCCCTTCTCCCCTCTGTAGCCTCTGCTGCTGCTGTCGACCTCCTTGGTGCTGAGAAGGTCGGGACCGCGTCTGCTCCGAGCGGGCGCCGCAGGAGCAAGGGGGGCAAGGGTGGAGGTGGCGGAGGGGGAGGCGGGGGTGGCGGCGGTGGTGGTGGAGGTGGGGCTGGAGAGGCTAGTGGCGGCAGTGGGGGTGGTGACAGCAGCGGCGGGAGCGGTGGCAGGGGCGGAGGCGGCAGCGGAGGCGGAGGTGGTCGTGGCGGCGGCAGGGGTGGAGGTGGCCGAGGCGGTGGCGGCGGCGGTGGTGGTCGTGGAGGCGCTGGCGGTGGCCAGAGCCAGCAGCGCGCCCCGTCGCTCCAGGAGGCCCGTGAGTGGTATTCGCAGCGGGGGGGGGCGGGTGGCTTTACCTGCACGTACGTCATCCGCACTGGTGACCGCACTGGCCAGACGTGTGGGAGGCCGCACCCCACGCAGCGCTGTTTCTCGCGCCTTACCGACGCATGGCGCGCCCAGTTTCCTGCTGCCACTGAACTGCCCCACTGGCCTGAGCTGGAGAGGAAGGGAGTTGATATCTGGGCTCTAGACTTTGATGCTATTCTCACTGCCATGTATGCGATGTTTACTAGTGGAGAGGGTGCTCAGTACTTGCGTGTTCCGCCCGACCCGGGCATTCTGACCAGTCCGACTGCTGCTCTAGGTGCTAGTGAGTCTGCTGCCCCAGGTCCTGGTGAGGCTGCTGCTCTAGGTGCTCGTGAGTCTGTGCCCCCTGGTACTGAGTCGACTGCGGCACTGCACACCTTCACACTAGACTCAGGTGCTTCTCGCTGTTTCTTTCGTGACCGCACTGTCCTTGAGCCACTCGCTCGACCAGTTGCTGTCTCCCTCGCTGACCCCTCTGGGGGTCCGGTCATTGCGACCTCCTCCACTGTCCTTCCTTGTCCTGCGGTCCCGTCAGGCACGCTGTCAGGTCTCTACCTCCCCTCGTTCTCTACGAACTTGGTGGCAGGTCGTGCGCTCCAGGACGGGGGTGTTCACCAGTTCACCCCTGCCTACGAGCGCGTGACACACTGCACGTGTGCTCGGACGGGTCGCCACCTGGCTACCTTCACTCGAGAGCCGGGGTCGGACCTGTACACACTGACCACTGAGTCCCCTCAGGTAGCTGCGTCTGCGTCTGCGTCTGCGTCTGCGTCAGGTCAGCTGTCCGCCCCCTGCTCGTGTCGCTCTCTGGCGCATGAGACTGTCCTCTGGCACCACCGCCTTGGTCACCCGTCTGTGCAGCGCCTTCGGGCCATGCACAAACGGGACCTTGTTGCTGGTCTTCCCAGGGTTCTCCCTCCCCTCCCACCCTCGCCTGCTCCTCCCTGTCTTCCCTGTGTCGAGGGGCGGCAGCGCGCCGCTCCTCACTCCTCCTCTTTTCCCCCGACGACTGCTCCTTTGCAGACGCTCCACATGGACGTGTGGGGCCCAGCCCGCGTCCGTGGTCAGGGTCAGGAGAGGTACTTCCTGATTGTTGTTGACGACTTCTCGCGCTACACCACGGTCTTCCCCTTGCGCGCCAAGGGTGATGTCCCTGATGTCTTGATCCCTTGGATCCGCAGATCTCGTCTCCAGCTCAGCGAGCGTTTCCGCTCAGACTTTCCTGTCCTGCGTTTGCACTCTGACAGAGGTGGGGAGTTTTCCTCTGGCCTCTTGGAGGCCTTCTGTCAGCAGGAGGGCATTGAGCAGTCGTTCACGCTTCCGGCCTCTCCACAGCAGAATGGGGTTGCTGAGCGCCACATTGGCTTGGTCATGGAGGTCGCTCGTACCTCCCTGGTTCATGCGGCTGCCCCCCACTTTCTGTGGCCGTTTGCAGTCCGATACGCTGCACATCAGCTCAACCTCTGGCCCCGAGTCTCCCTCCCGGAGACTTCTCCGACACTGCGTTGGATGGGAGAGGC